TAAAAACGCAGGAGAAGGTACCATCACCAACAGTCTTTTCTTGCAGCATCTGGATTTCTTAGTTTTCCCTTCAAGTTTGATGTGAATAAGCCATCTGAAAGTAGGATGACATCTGAAATATGTATGATCAAGCTAACTTCTTCTATTAAATAGTTGTTTTTATTACTACCTAGTTCTGTGTGATTTTATTGACAAGCTATACAAACCTTTCTAGAGATATGTTCTGTTGTATATGAAATGAACGCGGAATACGGATGCTACTGATGAAATTTTATTGATTTTTGTTCACACAAAAAGTGTACAAAATAGTGTCCCATAAAAAAATTGAGACCTTGCCCTGGTTTATATTCTTCTTACTTTGTGAGAGATTTAATTGAAAATCTAAAAGGAAATTAAACTTAACAGGAGATTAGATTACCAACTTCATGGCTGACATGCCATGAAAGATGAAGTGCCTCTGTCTTTCATACTGCACTTCAAAGATGCTTTATGAAGTATTTGGGATTTCTTGTGGATTTAAGGATATCAGATATGACATCAGAAGCTTCAGTAGTGAAAATATTCTAAGGTACATGGATAGAAAAGCTACTAAAATTCTTACATAGTGTTTGGAAGATGAGGATGAAGAACCTTCTGCGTTGTCATCTTAAACTGAAAAAGCAAAAAGAAAGCTACAGAAGCTAAATCATCTGTATGCAGCCTTACTAACAGTTCATTTCCTAAGAATCTTTCCAAAGAAGCATTTGGTAGGATTGCTTTTTCAGGGGTAGCCTCTAGAGTATTTCATCATGTCAGCCATTCCACAGGAGTATAAATTAATGGTAACATACCTCTTACGAAAGTCCCTTTTGGAATTTGCCAGTCTGCCTTACCTGGTACACAGTGTGTCTCTGGGGAAGATTACTCAGAAGTATCTACTTGGCTGTCATTTCTTCATACAAAAGAGATCAGAGTTCAGCCTGTAAAACCAGAGAGGGAGAGAAGGAGAGCTGCTCAAGTCTTTCTGCCTGTCCTCCTTAGGTGGTAAAACTTAGCCCAAGTCACAGAGCTGTTTTCACTGGTTTGGGTACTGTGCTTGGTAAAGATTTGTCTCTCTGCAGAGGTATCACAGTGCTCCTTGACAGAATGTGATTTCTTAAAGCCATGTTTATCCCAGGGACCTTGTCAGAAGTTGGGTTACCATCCTCCACATACTTTGGTATTCTGTAGCTGTCTGAAGCATGAAGGAAGCGTTTGTGCTTGTGAAACTGTGCTGGAAATAATTCAGCTGTTTACATGTGACAGAAGGCTTTTAAACCAGACTACCTGAAATTGGTTAGCTGTTCCTCTCTAAAGTGGAGCTGCCAGAAATACTTCACTGTTGGCAAAAAAGGAGGTGAAAGCCATGATCAAGAAGCCCTCTATATGGTGTAATCTAAGGCTATTTGTCTATCACTGGCGACAGCAGAAGGGAGATTCAGCATCTATAGGAAATATAAATGAAAAGGTTATAACTCTGTACACACCTTGATATGGATTACAACATCATCAAAAGCATCATCACAAAAGACAGCTAAACTTGACTATTAATTTCAAAGGCCACAGTCTTTTTCACAAACTGCATACAGTTTTATGCACACTCCAGTGTTTTTGGCATCTGCAGATTAAATATAATTTTAACTCTTATCAGTGCAATAGATGGAATTATCTATAGCCCAGAAAAGGTTCATGTACCGACTGCAGATATTCCGTAACGAGTGGTGTCCCTCAGGGATCGGTGTTGGGGCCGATCTTGTTTAACATCTTCGTCGCTGACATGGACAGTGGGATTGAGTGCGCCCTCAGCAAGTTTGCCGATGACACCAAGCTGTGTGGTTCGGTTGATACGCTAGAGGGAAGGAATGCCATCCAGAGGGACCTCGACACGCTTGTAAGGTGGGCTGGTGCCAACCTCATGAAGTTTAACCATGACAAGTGCAAGGTCCTACACCTGGGTCGGAGCAATCCCAGGCACAGCTACAGGTTGAGCTGAGAAGAGATTCACAGTAGCCCTGCAGAGAAGGACTTGGGGGTGTTGGTCGATGAGAAAATGAACATGAGCCGGCTTCAGTGTGCGCTTGCAGCCCAGAAAGCCAACCGTATCCTGGGCTGCATCAAAAGGAGCATGACCAGCAGGTCAAAGGAGGTGATCCTGCCCCTTTACTCTGCTCTTCGGAGACCTCACCTGGAGTATTGTGTGCAGTTCTGGTGTCCTCAACATAAAAAGGACATGGAACTGTTGGAACAAGTCCAGAGGAGGGCCACGAGGGTGATCAGGGGACTGGAGCACCTCCTGTATGAAGACAGGCTGAGAAAGTTGGGGCTGTTCAGCCTGGAGAAGAGAAGGCTGCGTGGAGACCTCATAGCAGCCTTCCAGTATCTGAAGGGGGGCCTATAGGGATGCTGGGGAGAGAGTCTTCGTTAGGGACTGTAGTGATAGGACAACGGGTAACCGGTTAAAACTTAAACAGGGGAAGTTTAGATTGGATATAAGGAGGAAATTCTTTCCTGTTAGGGTGGTGAGGCACTGGAATGGGTTGCCCAGGGAACTTGTAAATGCTCCATCCCTGGCAGTGTTGAAGACCAGGTTGGACGAGGCTTTGAGTGACATGGTTTAGTCTGAGGTGTTCCTGCCCATGGCAGGGGGTTGGAACTAGATGATCTTAAGGTCCTTTCCAACCCTAATTATTCTATGATTCTATGATTCTATATAGTATTTTCAGGACGGGACCTGGAGGGACACAAATGAAAACATTTGGAGCTTCAGGTGTTCAAGTCAAAGCACATTGCAAGAGAGAGATTTTGCAGATACCAAGGATGGAGAAATTGATATTTTCTACAGCTCTTACTTGTTCTGACAGTGCAATTTTAGTTGGAAAAATTAAGCACTCCTCACAGAAATAGTGGAAAAGAACAGTAGGAAAAATGCTCATTTTTGCTACGGGGATGAGGTTTCTTTTGAAGTCAGTGGTAGTTTCTTGCCTACATGGTCTTTGAAAGGGGAAAAAAAAGTCAGAAGACTGCAACAAAAAGACTATGCTTATATTTGAAAGAGAAAAACTTCATTATGATTACCTGATGATACTCTGCCTGGTTTGTTCATTCAAAAAAAGCAGTATTAGAACTGCTGTGTAAGTGGATTGACTGAAGTTTGGAGGGTGGGTTGGTGAGATGTTCCAGGTTGGCCTCAGTGCCATGGCCCTGTCAGCATGCATCAGCTATAACTCATAGGAACTAAATCCAAGAAGTCGTATTCCATCCTTCATGCTTTTTGAACCTAGTCTTGTTTTAACAGTTTGCTGGGTGTACCAGATGATTGATACTGTCACAATGAAGATAAAACTTATCATTCTGTCATTTTTACTCCGTATTTTAGAACCATTTTGGTGCAAGCTGGAATTTAAAGCAATGTTACACGTTTTTTTCTATGGTTCGCTTTAGTTGTAAAAATAATCCTTCTAATTCTCAGTGATTCATTGGCAGACATTTCCTACATACAGACCTAGAATGAATTAGTAGGTTAGTTGAATCTGAATGTCTTGAAATATATGTGCTGGCTGTATTTCTTTTCAAATATGGTACAAGGAGATACAAATGAATATAGGATTGGAACATTGCGAAATTCATGAAAGGAGAACAATTAGGCACATGCATATTTGGCCTAGTTTCGTAATAAATGTCACAGGATAATATCAGCTATCCACAATTACACGGGATATAATGAAAAGGTCATTACACTGAAAAAAATGAATTGAGCTAAAATTTTAGCATATAATACTGTCAGAGTTTTTACCTGTAAGGATGGCCTGCAAGGACTGTGCTTTGTTTGCTTTAGGGCTGAGGCCTCAAAATGGAATTTAAATGGTCTTGTACTATCCATGATTATTAGCAGGTCATAAAATTACTGTAAAAAGGAGAGACACTGACTTGTGGTATAGCAGGAGTTCCATTATATACTTCACAAATAGATATTTACCTTATCTTCAAGTCTACTTGACTTAAATTTACTGTTCATATCAAATTATGAAGTTGCCTGTGTCACAAGTCACAAGCTACTGCTGTTGAACCCAGAGAAATAAGGTCCAACTCAGGATGAAAACGATGAGAGCTAAACTTGCTTGGTCCTTCAGAAACCAGCTGCTGAAGATTGGTTTGGGTTCACTTCCACATGTGCTACATTATTTGCTCTTTCTGTGTTTCAACAGGCCTTGAATCGGGGCATCGCTGCTGTCAAGGAAGATGCTGTGGAGATGCTGGCCAGCTATGGGCTGGCATACTCCCTGATGAAGTTCTTCACGGGTCCGATGAGTGACTTCAAAAATGTAGGTCTGGTGTTTGTGAACAGCAAGCGAGACAGGATCAAAGCAGTTTTGTGCATGGTTGTGGCTGGTGCTGTAGCTGCTGTATTTCATACCTTAATAGGTAAGGTCACTTCACATCTAATTAATGTCTTAATTTGCTTCTTTCACCTGTTTTTCAAACTGATTAATGTGTAGGTTTAAGATTTCATTTGTAAGGGCAACAGGAGATGCAAAAGAGATTAAATCTTGGGCAGGTATCACACCCATCTATACAATTTTTTTTACTTTTTAAACAGGTTAAGTGGCAGATTCCACCTCCAGGGCTCTCCTGCCTGGCAGCAAAACATGCTGCTGCTCTCTTTCGGTCAGGTGTGTGAGTAAAACTTTGGCAAGGTTGACAGGTTGCATGAAGCTGATAGCTCAGTCTTACTCTAGCAGTATTGTCACAAATGGGTTTAGGTTTTCATGGTAGGTCTGTTCGTCAGAACTCATTGTTTTTTTTTTTGTGTTTGTTTGTGTACTGCCTCTGTACCTATCCGTTTACTATTTATCTCACAGTACAAAACTCTAAGCAAGTAGGTGCCAGCATCCTCATTAAAATATCAGTATAACCCAGTACTAGTGCTAGTTGTCACCCACTTCTGTTGAATAGTTGATCTGTTGAATATTCTGTTTTTCTGTAAGAGAAATCATTACTAAAAGCACTTTACACCAAACTGAGCCCAGCTCCCTGAGTGTACTCTGGAACAAACAAAATACACAAGCAGATACAAACTGAACATAAAAAGTAAGACAGCCACAGGATTTGCCAGTTTCTGAGAGCCTGGAGAAATGAGATATCAACCCAAGCATCAATCACAGCAGTACAAAGCTATGTGACTTGGAAGACTTCAGCTTCATCCTCTCCAAGAGCTGCACCAGATTCTCTGCACCTTCTGGCTCATTCTACAGAGCCAAAACCTCTGGACCTCAACAAGGAGGAACAAGAGACTGGAGGAAGAAGCAAAGAGTATATTGCATTCAACAGGTAAAATACTAAAAGCTGGGAACTCTAAGGGAAGGGATGAAGGAGGTAATGCAACAGCCTATGAAAGCATGTGTTGGTTGACAGGCAGTAGAGTTGGTTGACTAGCAGTAGGAGGTCATTCCATTGCAGAAAGATGGGAAATGTGAGCGTGATGGTGATAGCTGGAGTTGCTGTGAAATTACAGAGTGGTTTGTAAGTGAGACACATTTATTATTCAGGCTGTTAATATCTCAAGAGCAGGATAGACTATTTTAGTGGCTGCCCAAGTAGGTACAAGACCCATCCAGTAAATACAAATGCCCCCTGCTCTTAACCCTTTAAAAGGCTGCCAGTTATATTCACCAGCTTTATATGCCTCCCAAGCACTCCAGTTTGTTTGACCATCATGTCTTCTATTCCACCAGTGATATAGCAGCCCTGTGCTGTTAACCTTTATGTTACAGTCATAATAAATGCTTACAGTAACAGCTCACTAGCCATGGGCAGGGATAAGGTGCTGCTGATTTTATAAGCTGAATTCATGCATTTGAATTAATTTAATTCACTGGTATCAGTCAGTCAGTTCCTCAGTATGTTTACAGTTGAGGCTGCATTACTGAGTCAGTAATATAAACTTTGGGCCATTTGTACATTTGGCTTTCATATTTCTTTGCTTGGAATGTTTCTTCAGCCCCCAGAGCTGCTCTTCTAGTTGCTCACTTGTTTTCCTGTCAGTGCTGGTCAAAGATTTTGGCTTTGCCAGCTGGATAAAGAAGTAGTTTGTAGTCATCCAGTATTTTATTTTAAGCTATGATGGATTTTAAGAAAATTTGAAGAACAGCTATTCAGTTTCCAGGGGAAAGACATAGCTGGATTTTCTGTGTGAGACTTCTTATTGAAGGGAGGTGTTTGGGGCAACTATTGGAAAGCATGCCAGATAAGTTTCTTGCCTTTTCTGGGAAGTAGAGCTCTGCTGAGTTCAGAACCTCTGAAATGCCTTCTCTGCAGATATTGGGGAAAGAAAGAAAAAAGAAGCTGTACTTACCATGCTTCAAGGTCCTGAATAAAGGGCTTCGCAGTCTTTCAGCTGCTTATGGTGGCAGACTGCAAAATATTTTTTAGTATTTTAACTTGTCTATGCCTGAAAATATGCAAAGGCCACAGCAGAGACTGGCAGAGCGCCCGAGAGAATGGAGTTAGTCAGATTCCAGCACCAATTGCCTGGGTGATGTTGCCAAGTTTTATGTTCCAAGTTTTCTCTGAGCCTGTTTCAAATCCTGATTATTCTTCTCTGACCCACAGATGCACAATCTGCCTAGCAGGAGGAAGAGGAGTCCAGTGACAGACAAGCAGCCTCCTAGGACATGCAAGCCTATCACAGGCTATCTATAGAGGACCCAAATACAGGTTACTGATGCTCAGCAGATGAAAAAGAGAAACAAACAATGCTGGGGGGACTGAGTTTCTTCCACATGCCATGTCTATGGGGCTAAGGAAGATGACATGACTGTCTGCTATGGACTGCTGAAGCCCAGGAAGAAACACAGAACAAAAAGCCCAATGAAATAAGGAGGAGTACTGAAATTTGGAAGGAAGAAAACAAGTCGTGGTAGAAACACAGTGACCACAATGAATCACCACATTTCCAACTGTGATAGAGACTATTTGCAGTCTGCACACACAACTCCTCACAAACAGCAGCCTCTGCGTAGTTACAATATCAAAACAGACCATTTCTCCCACCTGACTCATGCTTAATTGCTTCAGCGCCAGCTCCCCACTACTGCTTCCCTACCGCAGCTAACGCAGTCCCCTGTGGGAGTGACTGCCTGAGCCAAACCACTCCAACTCACAGCTCTGGGTCCCTCAGTCATCACCACACCACATTCCCGTGAATATCCACAAAGTCCTCACCAACAGTTCCTATCACTCCCCTGTACAGGTGGCAGTAAGAACTAAGAAGCAAGTTGACCTTGACCAAAGGGTTTTGAAACCATATTCTCATCCCACTTAAAATGCTGCTTCAGACCTTGGTCAGGACAGTACTTCTGAATCTACTGTTTCAGTTGTGATCTGGAAGTAGAAGATAGTATGCTGCCTACCTTCCCTTCTGCTACTTTGAGGGCAGCTACTACCACCAGTTCGCGTTTCCTGGTGGGAGCTTCGCTGTGTACCCAGGGTCTAAAGCATCTTGTTATTTCAGAGATTGGGTTTTGGTGGGAATATTTGGCTGTAAGAGAAGGGATTCAAGACTCTAAGCCTGTCTGTGAATATTTGTGACATCTTACTAAATTGCCAGCTTGACAGAGGAAAGAAATCATTTATATACCATTATGCTAACATGATGCAATTCATGGTGTTGCTGGTAAGCCCCCCCGTACTGTGTCCTTCTAACACTAGTGTCATGAAAGACATGCACATTTTTTTGGCAATAAAACAGCATTGTTCAGCCTTTCACTAGTTTACTGAGAAATAGTATACTGAAAAAGATTCTTTCCTTTTGCATATTAATATTACTTTCCACAGCTCTCTGAGGTTCTGGAAATGACAAGGCAGAAGTGACTTTGAGGAGAAATCCTCTTTGCTTAAATAAACATCCTTAACTGGAGCCTACTACTTCTGATTAAAAACTTTACTAACCAGGCGAACCTATAGCAGGCTGAATGGTTGAGACATGTGAGTGATTTGTTTTGTGCCAGTTTATTACTGACAGGCTATTGGACATGGGCCACTGCCTGCACAGGCTGCGCAGGAGAAATCTTGAGCAGCTGCTAGCAAATCAGGTGATTACATTGAACTTCCTATGTGCATGGTCACTGCATTACATGAAAGATCTGCATAACAAGTGAGATACAGGTGTAATCCCACCTTTCAGAGTGACACTACTGTAATAACAGTGGTTTATGATAACCTGAGGGTTTTTTTTCCAGTCAGTCTTGTTCTGGTATGCCCACTGCAATGGCCTGTACTAAACATTTTGCTCTGAAAAGGATGATAGCACAGGAACACAGAGCAGAATATAATCCAGGCTTGCATTTTTTCTTTGTTCTAAAAGATGATAAAATGTCATTCATTGAAAATGTGTCCTATTTCAGCATCTTCAGATGGCCATTGCTAAAGCAGCAATGTGCTTCCCCAGCTGTCCCTGCTCCTTCTTCCACAGCAGAGGCAGTTTCATATCAGCAAGGTATTCAGGGCAAAGGAAGAAGGAAGAAAGACTATGATCAAAGCATTTGTGGATTTTAGGATAGCAATAATTGAGTTGGAGTTATAACAGGCTAATTTTGAGACTTATGAGATGTTGGCCTTCCTAAAGCTATTTCAGAGACCAACAGTTATAGATAGATTTGTGAAAATCAACAGTGCCATTTTGGAACTAGAGCTTAGCACAGGAAAAGATGATTGCAGTAATCAGACTGCCCTGAGATGCTCCTAATCTGGTTTGGTTTCTTGGGGTTTTTTTTTAGTTTATTTATTACTATAAGCAAAAAAAATCACAATGCTAATCAAAGACAAAGGAATCTTTTGTACCCTCTGCTATCTCCAAATGAAGATTTGCCATTCATTTTTTATATTTTTATAAATAGCATATATCTGTCTGCCCAAATCATTTAGCTGAACAAACACCCCTGACCAGCACCAGTTTTGGCCACGTGAGCCGTCCTTCTTACCAACAGCAGAATAGATTTCACATAACAAGTCTCCCAGTTCATTTTTTAACTGGCAGTGCAATATGAAATGGAATGTATCTAAAGAGAACACACTTTAACCCCAAAACATTCTTGGATTTGTTTTTCCCTCTAGCTAAGCTAATATTGACATATGTAACTGTCTGGAAGTAAATGGTATCACTTCCTATGAGGGTTTGTTTTCTTTATGATGTAAGTGTAACATGCTGGGTAGTAGACAACTCCAAAATGACCATGGTACAGCTATTTGTTGAGACTGCTGGCATCATTAAGAGTATGTTCAGTTGTTTTGAGAATGTCTGACATTTATGGTAGTAATTGCCTTGTTAGAGGAATCAGTGTAGAGAAGAGGTGATCCAATTAGCTATGCAGTTTTCAGTGTCATTTCTTAAGCTTCTGTGTCTTAAAACTTAACTGGAAAAGTCAAAAAATGGAATTCCTGCTTAGATTCTGTAGCAAAACTACGCCATAGACATATCAAAATATATAAGGTATTAGAGGAGTGCAAACAGGCAGCTTGTCCTGGGGTTGGACTACTCTGTTTTGGTTGAAATTATGCAAGGAATGGGAAGAGCCATCTGCTTTAGATTCATGTAATACTCTTCAGCTCTGTTGTCTGTGTTATTAATTTTGTACTATGCTTCATAATAAGTTTGTAAGGTTGGCCAAGGTTAAATTCTAATTGCATCAACAATTGCTTTATTCACAGCTCTGAGACACATGCCTGTATATTTGTCAGTAAATCTCATTCGCTGAGTCCTTCTTTCTGAGGATAGAAATGTTTCTGGACATCAGCAAAAGTGATTGTGTGCTTTCACTGCCATGTGGAACAGCTGGCCATTTTAAAACTAGCTATTAAGCTTTCCCATTACAATTTTAAAATCAAAATCACATTGAAAAGTACAGTTAGAGTTTTTGGGGGGTTGGTTGTTTTTTTTCTTCTCTGGATGGGAGAGAGAAAAAAGAATCTTAAAGCAGGTGAGGCACTGGAGCAGGCTGTCCAAGGAAGTTGTGAACTCTCCATCCCTGGCAGTGTTCACGGCCAGGTTAGATGGGGCCTTGAGGAACCTGGTCTAGTGGAAGGTGTCCCTGCCTGTAGTAGGGGGTTGGAACTGGATGATCTTTAAGGTCCCTTCCAACCAAAACCATTTATGATTCTATGATTCTTACAGAGCACGGTGCTGATACCTCTGGAAATCTTAAAAATGTGGTGCTGTGGGCTGTGGTGGTACAAGTCCCTTGAGAGCGCTCTGCCAATAAACTACAACCCTCTGGTGACCTGTCTGTTCCTAGAAGTGAGAGTAGTTCAGCCTCTGACCCTTCTGATTCTGTTTGTTTCCTGGTTTCCCACAGCAGTTTTAAAGCTTTTGTGAAGGAGAAGTATAAAGCAACTTCAACAGAACCTGAGAGTCAGATGGATGAGTCTGACCCTCACAGCAGCCTTCCAAACTTCTTCATTCAAATAAGTCAATTCTGAAATGTCCATGTACTGCCGTGCCAGAAAAGCAGCTTTCCGCAGGGCATTACCACACAAAATTCCATGGATAATGAGAATTTTCAAGATACTGAGCAAAAATCAGTGTATGGTTATTCGTGCAAAAAATAAAAAGGGGCTGTTCTTGATGTGTGGCTGGACTGCAACAAGCACATCAACACTTTGAGAACTAAACTGGCCTCCTTGAACTGAGGAAAGGTTGGAGTCCTGGTTTAAAGTTCTTCCCCAACCCCATTCAAAAGGAAACAAGGCTTGGAGTGCCTCAGGAGTATGGCTAAGCAACTTGGGGATTTCTGGGTGAACTGGGAGACTGCGAGTCTAACAGTCATAGTTCAGATAAAAGACATGTAGATAGGGACCAGCATAGGGAAAGGTAGAGTTTTTAACATTTTAGCATCTTTTGGGCATCCTGGATATCTGGAATGAGGCTCACACCTGTTCCAAATGCTGTCAAACCACCTCCTTCTATTTTACTACCTTGTTTACACTGTCTTGTTTGGACTGAAAAAGTCTTTTCAGTCCTGTTAAACGTTTACCTGCTATATCGATTGCTAAGCCATCACAAAACAATGAGGACTTAAACTCCTCTTTAATTGCTTCCAAACACTTGTTTGTGAGTTACAAGAGAGAGTTTTAGGCTAAAAAGGTTGAATTGGGCAATTAACGTTAGTATTTGTCAATCTGATTATGTGACCTGCATGCATGAAAATGAGAACTTTCCTGAAATGCCATGTATGAAGGTCTGTACAATGATAATAGAATTGTTATATATGTAAAATCAGATAGATGTCAATATTTGAAATAATTAGAAAAGACACTAGTGGAAGAGAATTGAGGTAAGGTTCCCTATTCACAAGTAATGCTGCCATTATTTGTGTTGGAATGTTGACTTTATGAACTAGTCACTCTTTCAATAGCTATTGCAAGTGTACAGAGGAAACTAAGTAACGATATGCAGATCTAGAACATAGTTTATAAAAGATTAAAAACTATTTGTATTATTTTTAACCGTGCATATAAGTTCCCATAGTTCAGAGACTGCAGTCATAGCTAGCTCTTCATTATTCCTGGTCACTGGGAGGACTCTGGGGTCACTAAAACAGCTGGATAACATGGGTACCAGTAGAGGTATGAGGAGTTCTTCGGAGAGCTGCGTGGTGAATCCTTGCATCTGTGCTGTCTTTAACCCAACGCCTTGGGAAGAGAGACCTGGCAAGAGATGTGTTGCCCAACAGTAAAAATTCTTGTCTTGGGTTGAAACAGGACAGTGAAATAACATACTGGCAGTCGGAAGTGGCAAACCCCTGACATCCAGTGGTTCCCTCTTCTGACTGTGGCTTCTGAGATGTGGGCTGTAGATAAGGAAGGAAAATAAGGCTGGTCAGGGCTGCCCAGAGACTGTACAGGGTGCAGTGCCCTGACAGGTCCCAGTAGAGGTGATCATTAGGCAGAGTAAGGCAGAGGCTTAATGAGTGTGATTTTTGCATCCTTTCACAATTCAGAGTATTCTTTTACAGCTTTGGGCAGGTTTACAGATAACGTCATATGAATGCAGTGCCAATAGATAGTGTTGGTATTTATAAGTTACTACATCCCATGAAATACACAATGTCTAGTGAAAACAGCTTTTCTAACGAAGAGCCTTGAGTTAATGAAGGAGCAGTAGATTTTCTGGAGTACCAGTGTGTTCATTTAGCAAACAGATGTGGCACTTAATATACCTATGTCCCAACACAGACATTTGTTATCACTCTTCTGCCAAAGGTTACTTGAAAAAGAACCGTGAGAGTATTCCTTAGTCATAAACAGCAGCTGGTGAGACTGTAATACCCTGAAGCCCCTGCAGCTGTTTACTAAGTAGATGCATGTCCTAGGCTTCACAGCCTTTCAGGTACTTGTGAGTAGCTCACCCAGAGCCCATATGTAACCTTTATTATTCATTTCTCTTATTGTGTCTCTACAGCATATAGTGATTTGGGGTATTACATTATTAATAAGCTGCACCATGTGGATGAATCAGTGGGAAGTAAAACTCGGAGGGCCTTCCTTTATCTTGCTGCCTTCCCTTTTATGGATGCCATGGTGAGTGCCTGATACAGAGCTGAATTTTAACATTCAGGTTATTTTTTCTTTGGTGACTTTGGTTCACGAAGTCTGTTACCTGGTGGGAAGCTGCAGGTGGGCAGAAGGGAGGTGTGTCCTTTGCAAGCAGTAGCTCTTGGATGTACCTGGACACATTGTCCCCTGCTGCCTGGAAGAAGCATCTGGTTGGGCATACAGAGCTCATAACAAAAGTAAAAACCTCAGTTGTCCTGTTACAGTTACTGTTATGTGCATGCTGGAAAGCACTTGCAGAGCTCAGGGAATAAGCTCAGTATTTTCTCAAAGCGCATTTGTTGAAAATATATTTTTTATGATCATATTTACAAGCACAGCTAAGTCCGGTATATCTCGAATGCGTGAGAAAGAGCACCCACACGTGGGGTGGGCTGCTGATTTCCAGATCATCAGGCTTACTGCTTGTGGCCTGCACAACATAGAAATACAGCAGCTGTCTTTAATGCCTCTACTTCTGTGTAAAACTGGTAAAGAACAGCCTTCTCACAGCACACCTCCACCACGTTGTCTGCTTGAAACAGTCTCTGACCGTAAGAAGTTGGATCATTAAGTTTTTTCTTCATATATATATATATATATGTATACACACACAGGACTCAGTATATCTCAGTGGGCCAATGAGGATTACACTTCAAAGGTGCATCCAGCTGGTGAATGATAATATTTTTTTCCCTTGAATTATTTATTATGATAAGCCATCCTGTGCAGCACCTGTTTCATGAATAAGGAGCAGTTTCTTATTAGATCTGCTCAGAAATCTCTGTGAAGTCTATAAAGTTACTCCCGTTCTCCCTGTCAGCCCTGGCTGTAAGGAAGTGAATGCAGCAGTGCTTTCTCTGTATTACTAGCTTAACATTTGCCCAGGTTCACACCAAATGCTGCTGGTAGAAAATAGCTTTAAAAGTTCTTTGTGTACAATGTAACAACCAGAAAACAGTATTCTGGGACCTGAAATCATTCACAAATATCATAATCATTTCCCAAACTCTCCTCTGTGTATTTTTAGGCATGGACCCATGCTGGGATTCTGCTGAAACACAAGTACAGTTTCCTAGTGGGATGTGCCTCCATCTCAGATGTCATAGCTCAGGTAATGACTCCACTTAGCAGTCACTGTTTCTGTTGTGTTACAGACTCCCTTGCACAGAGACTGCCTTCTTTCTCTATCGTGAACAACAAGCCAGAGGAAGTAATCTTGTGGTTTGTTCTCTGACTGCTTGCTCCATCATGTGGAGGCTGTTTACTGACAGCTGTGGTTTAGGCTGGTCTCACTTGGCTGGATCAGCTCAGTTCCAAACCAATGTCAGGAGATGGGAACCAGGATCCTTTGGGCTAGGGCTATGTCTTACAGCGCCTCCACAACCATGTTTCAGAATGGCAGAAACATGTGCATTCTCATGTGTGACATGCATCACACAGTTGCACTGAAATCCTAAGTGGGGCTTGTAGATAGGGAGGTGAATGAAGGCTTGATTCTCCAATTCACTTGTCAGTTTTGCCCATGCTGTCTGATCCAGTGAAATACAGTAGTGTAAGCCACCTTCCAAGTGCCACTATGGCACTGTCCTTGCTAATGGTCCAAAAAGTGAAGGCTCAGAACTGCAGCAGAAGAGATCTGTGCTGATAGATCCTGGGTGATGCAGAGAAGACCAAATGTTGCTTCAACTTTTATTTGTGGGGGAGGTATTAATTATCTTGTTGCTTTGTACTAGATACACTTAAAAGCAGCATTCATACACATTGCTGCTGGCCAGTGTTGCAGCAGTTGAGAACCAATACACCACCCTCTTTTTAAAGCATATATAAAAATATTGCTAAATGGAGAGTCCCAGCACTTGTAAAACAGTTTCTGTACTGTCCCATTACCAGCTTAATGGTGTAATGACTGGGTAAGAAAGAGGCTAATAACAGTACAGCATCAAAGGAAATACGAAGTCAACAGCATGTAGTTCCATTTTCCATAGCATTTTCCTCCCACTAAATATGAGCAAACCATAAACCAGGTTGAACCATTCAGTCAGCTGCTGTTTCGTGTTTTGCATGTCTGCCCCTCTACAATACTGGACTAAATCCCAGAAGACAATACTTATTACTGCACATGACCTTAGCCCTCAGGATATGCTCTTGTTCTGATGCAACCATGCAAAGTTTGCTGACCCTAGATGCATGTCAGGTCATATACAGCTAAAAACAGAAAACCAGTTCTTACTTTGGCCATGGCACACATGCCCTTTCAACAGTGGTTGGTGAGTGGGGTGCCAGGACTGTGCAGAATAAGACACCTGTCATCTTCACTTAACAAAATACTGCACAGAGCAAGAGCAAATCCAGAAGACAAGAAGCTGTGACTCTCCATACCCCAGAACTCCCTACGCCTACATGCTCTCCCTACACAAGCAATAGATGCGCAGGCAGTAGCTGATTCTCTTTGGCTCGCTTTATATGCACACTTTTTGTGACTGCCTTTGCTCCTGTTTACTGAAAAAAACAATTCTTTTGTAGGGTTCAGAACAGCAGTTTTGCAAACCCTCATGAGCAGCATGGCCTGCCTAATAAACATTTGCACAGTGTGATTTTTCTTAAGTAAAGTATTTCTTGAGCTTTAGCAATGAAGGAGAGAGAACCTGCTTCTGAAGAATGTGTTTTGTACTTCTTGGCATGCCAGCTTGTCACAGCAGGGTTGTCCTTGATTCTGCTGTTCACAGCACCAAACACAGTTGGCTTTCCAGTTGTGCCCCCAATCCAAAGACATCTGGAATTCAACAGGCACACCATCAGCTCCGTATTTAATGAAGAGAATAATGTCATATTAATTCCTTTGCATTTTTTGGACTGGGAATTTAATCTTAGGAGACTGAATTATGAGCTGTTCATTAGCTCAAAAGTTTCCATTTCATTTACATCAGTGTGCTCAGGTAGCTGAGAAGAGAATGATGAAATACTGAAATCTCACTCCAAAAAAGTAGAAAAGTAGGATGACGTAAGGCGTCTTGCTTCTTAATGCTGGAATGGATACTTTAAAATAGCTGACTTTTTAATTGCCACTGCCCCACGACCTGTAAATAAAAAAAAAGTAGTGCTTACAAGCTGACACTAGAAGCATGTTTCCAGCCTCAGTGTATATCAGAATAGCACATTCTCCTGGGAAGTGTGACAGCCACATGGTTCCTGATGGACCCTGCCAGACTTTCACGCTAACCTATTTATGGCTCCTAGTCTGACACCTACCCATACCTTCAAGTACGGTTTAATAGAGCTCCTGTATGATGTTAACTATTGTTCTTTTCATTTGTATGACGGAATGCAGGGGGGTCCTGACTGAAGTTTCAAATGCCATAAGGTCAAAGCCAGATAGATACTGTAGTATCTGGGAGTCAGACAAGAGGTAATGCTGGCCCTAAAGAAACACACAGAGAGATTACTTACTAATCATTTATTTGTTTGCCCTGCAGGTTGTTTTTGTAGCCATCTTGCTTCACAGTCACTTGGAGTGCAGGGAGCCTCTCTTGATCCCCATCTTGTCCTTATACATGGGAGCACTTGTCCGATGTACCACGTTATGCCTCGGATACTACAGGAACATACATAATGTCATTCCTGACAGAAGTGGGCCTGAAATGGGGGTATGTCTCAGTACTTTGCACTTTTTTGAATAATCTAAAACTTGCGCTTTGTGTTATAATACTGTATTAAAACCAGTGTACCTTGAAGGGCCTCCTCTCTCCATCCTGCAGGAAAAAACGTTTTCACTTAAAGAGACATGGTGAAAACTATCCCTGACAGTGCACATGAGGCAATGCTTCCCATGGTATGGATGTGCTGCCTACTGAACATCTCTATACTGAGCTGTAAGCCAGTACAGCATGAACAGTACAGCATGAACTTCCCTTATATCAGAGGGAAGAAAGTCTCAAAATTCCTCTTTTTCCTCAAATGTCATATTGGTTTTCACATCTTTGTCTGGTAGCCAGAACAAATTATGCAGATAGGGACCTTATGCATTATTTATTGAGATCCATGACACAGCTTCTTTTGAATCAGTATTACTAACATGAGTGAAAATATTTTAGGCTCGTCATGAAAACTGTTGAAATGAATGTACCAAACTGACAATGGGTGGTGAAAGCAAAAATCCTTTCTCTGTGCTTTTGTTTCAGTTCTGCATGAATTTTTCCAAACCCACTTCTGCTTATTTATTTCTTCATATGCGTTGCAGGGAGAAGCTACAATAAGGAAGATGCTGAGTTTCTGGTGGCCTTTGGCATTAATTTTGGCAACTCAGCGAATAAGTAGGCCCATTGTCAACCTTTTTGTTTCCCGGGACCTAGGCGGCAGTTCTGCAGCCACAGAGGTAAGAAAAGTGCTCTCCATTACTGCAAATGGTCACTCACATGGAGTTACCTTGGCATTTCTCTTCGTAGCCATACTGACAAGCAAGAAGTTGTCTTAAGTACATTTCTGTTTAGTGCTCTCTCTATCCTTGAAGCTTGAAACAGTCTTGAAGCACATTGAAAAAAATACCTCTCCTGGCTGGGATATGAAATGCACCCTGTTTCTCTTGAGGAATTTCAGATCACTCCCATAGTCTCCTGCAGCTGTTGGGAGCCAGGCTTGTGATTGTGGTGCAGAGCCTTCACCAATGATCACCATGAACTAACCTATTCTCTTAAGAAGTGGAAAGACCTTTGATGTCAGTTTTTCTGTAGGAAAGACAAAGCTGTAAGATACTAAATGGAAAGGAAAATTCAAACAGCTGATGCCTAACAAACATTCTGTCAGCACTGCTAACTTGTCATACCTGACACTGTGTGTTTCACTTGCTCGGAAGTTGCCAGTGGCTGCAAATAAACAGCTGTGGAGATAGAATTTAGGAAGCAGCCTTCCAGTATCTGAAGGGGGCCTACAAGGATACTGGAGAGGGACTCTTTACTAGTTGTGATAGGAGAAGGGGTAATGGGTTAAAACAGTACAGTAGACTGTAGTGATAGGAGAAGGGGTAATGGGTTAAAACTTAAACAGAGGAAGTTCAGATTGGATATAAGGAAGAAGTTCTTTACTGTGAGGGTGATGAAGCACCAGAATGGGTTGCCCAGGGAGGTTGTGAATGCTCCATCCCTGGCGGTGTTCAAGGCCAGGTTGGACAGAGCCTTGGGTGACATGGTTTAGTGTGAAGTGTCCCTGCCCGTGGCAGAGGGGTTGGAACTTGATGATCTTAAGGTCCTTCCCAGCCCTAACTGTTCTATGATTCTGTGATTCTATGAAGTGTAATGGTTTTTACATGTGTAAAAACATCTGCAGGAAGAGCTCCCTAAACACCTGATATGTGTGTGTGGGGTTGTGTCTTTGATGTACCTCTTGGGTCTGTAGCTGTGAAAGCAAAAAAGGGACTTGTTTGAAATTGCAGGCAGTGTGTTGTTTCTCATGGGAAAAATGGACATCTGGAATGATTTTTGTTTTGTTTTGTTGATGAGCACCAAAATGAGGAGAGGGTAGTTTTTTTGTGTCTTGCCCCAGAGCAGTTTGATGTCCAAAGACAGTCAGTCACTGAGGCCTACTCTTCTGTAGTCTGTCTGTCTTAAACCTGGTTTTACTTATAAATAGACAAGTTAAATATATATAAATTAAAATTACGACATTTGATCTGAAGCATCTGAAGCAATGTAAGGCATTCTGCTACTCTTGACATCTGTAGGTAAAATAACTCAGGTGCAATGAGGGAGGTATTTAGCTGGCTGAGAGGCACATAGCAATTCAAGTTAACTATAATCCCAAAGTATCAGAGGGATGATGAAACGACAAAGCTGAGTACCATAGCTTCATGGCACAAAAGTGTTCATAAGCTTAAAATACCAGGCCAAATGTGGCCACTGGGACAGTCTTCCTGAAACAAAGAGCTTCCAGTCACCTGCATGGTTTCTCACTGTATCAAGGTCAATTTGGTGATGATCTTGGTAGGAAGTGGCAACCTGTGTTAGTTTAATTGTTCTGTCAAAGACTGGGTGTTCATGTTTCCCTGTCTCTTTTCATAGGCAGTGGCAATCCTAACAGCTACGTATCCTGTGGGACACATGCCTTATGGCTGGCTGACAGAGATCAGAGCAGTATACCCTGCTTTTGACAAGGTGAGTGCCTAGGTTAGGGGTGTAATAAATACCTCTTGTGTGGTTTTGCATGTGTGGTCCTCATCTTCCCAGGTTACAACATTCTTATCTAAGGTGTCTTCAGTGATGTCAGAGGGATTTCTGCCAAACAAATATTAAGAAAGTTAGTTCATGGCTCCATAGCAAAGCGTAACAGATTCTTTAAAAAATAAACCAACCAAAGATTAACTAGGGCTGTGTTAATGGACATCTATTGTCTTCTCTGGTTTCTCTTTACTTTTGCTTTTGATACCTATTGTTCCTTGTCCCACTGATAAGGTTTAAAAAGCCTAGTTAAAATATTGGGTTAGGTGGCTTCAAGCTCTTGTCTTGAAAAAATTTATGATTTTAACCTTAGCTCTGTGTTAGAAGGTATTGAGCTATCTTCTGACTACATATGTGCTGTGTTTTTAAGGATTAAAAAAAGTCCTCACTTAATTACCATGATGTAGCTGCTTAGCTAATGAAGTGACTTCTCACGAAGTGTCCATTAGTAAGTAAGCAAGCTCTCATCTCTGCTCCTGATTCTGTGGTATCTCTCGCGGGTTTAGGTTCATTTGCTTATGTTAACATTTAGCAAAGGTTGTTTCATAGACTGACAGTAACACAGATAACATGCATTATTTTAGTAGCACTGATCATGTAATTATGTGAGAACACAAGGCTTGCTCCTGGAACTGAGCACAGAGTAAATACATAATCAAAATGAATTTTGTTTAGGGTCTTTTTTTGCTCTGTTTTAGAACTGGTATTCACAAGCCCATATGTTGTGCAAAGAACAGTCATGTCCTGTGACACTTAATTCAAATGCCAAATCCTCTCCTTCCCTTTATTTACCAATTAGTAACTGAACTTTCTAGCTCCAAGTACTGATGAAGAAAATGTTTGCTTGCTCCAGGATGTACTTAGCTGAAACAAGCCCTGTTTGAAATCATCCACCATATTTCCAAGAATTTAAAACTAAACCAAAGGAAAATCAAATCAGTCATTGCTTCTTAGTCTGCCTGTGTACAGCTAAATTGACCTATGAGATAAAATACAACATGCAGCCAGATCATGTTGCTGAAAAGGAACTGTAGATGCAAAACCAATGAATTGAAAGATAAAAGTGGTTTTTGACAGGAAACACAGGGGCTGCTAACCTCATCCGTTACGAGCCACAATCAAATGCACTATTGCCAAGTAAAATTAACAGCAATTAAGACTCCTAAATTCAGGTCTTGTTTAGCTGGTGGAAGATGTGCTGACAGCTTTAGTGGTGTCAGGATTAGACCATGATTTGTCTATTTCAGTTAAAAGGCTTCTCATCGTGCTCTTGTGGAACAAATGTGAGGAAGAAAAAGGTGGAGTAAGGCACAAGTAGATACCATTTATCTAACTGCCGAAAAAATCCACAGTGGGGATTATATGTTTTAAGAGCAAATTGGCATAAAAATGTGCCAAGTGAGGTAGCAGCAGTATAAAGGGTATCTCATTCTGGCAACCATGTGTGCAAATGCCTCCACCGTACCTTTCAGACAATAAATACCAAACCAGAAACCACGGTGGGTTTTTTAGATAGCTGTGAGAATTGCTTTACCCTCGGTCACACGCCATTCTCATGTCACCGTGCCTTTCAAAACCTTTATTTCCTTAAGCTGAGGCTTTCTCAGAAGAGTCCAGGTAGAAACACTTTTAATTTCCAGGCTCTGTAAAGCCTTCTTTACTGTGATTTTCAGATGTTGAAACAGTTTGCATGCATGCAAACTCTCATTTTCTTTTGTCAGTTACTCAGAAAGCTGGCAAGGCTGATGGCCATTGGTAGCACACTGCATTGCCTCAACAGACTGATAGCATGCCCCTCTTCAGTGGCTCTGCTGGAGAAGTCAGATTCTTATCTTCACAGGGAAATCATTACCGTCTGTTCACATTCATAAGAGAGATGCATGGTCCTGTTTCAGCCTTTTATGAGACTCTGTATCCAGAGCAACCTCATGGCTTAGCAGGTACACTCACGTTAAGGCTTACTATTGATTTTCTGAAAGAAAACAGGAATATCCTAGTTCTGTGCTCTGACTGCTGTTTTACATGGTGATAATGTCATTACTCAGACTGTGCTGTCTGATTCAGAGCAACATCACTGGCTGAGAGAGGACTTATAAACACTTAATAGGCGGGAATGGATACTCTTTTTGCTCCATAATCTGCATAGTGTTTTGATCCAAGTGTTAAACAGTGTGCAAGAGAGAGGAACAAAGAGTATGTGGTCAAGAGTTGGAGCAACGGGTGGAGTAGAGCAAGAGCAGAGTTAGCAGCAGCAGGGTAGGAATGAACAAGACCCCCTTTTCTTCACAACCCCTTTGGATGGTGGGATTGTGGTCACCACAAAAGCTTTAAATTGCACAATTCCATCAGCTTCTTGAATGTGTGTGAAATGGCATACCCTTCACAGAGCTCACGTTTGGTTTGTCCACTCCCGAGATGTGTTGGCATGAGCTCCTCTTTCTCTTACAAGTAATTTCAGTAAAGGAGGCTGATCATGTGACAGATAATGCTGTTCTACCTGAGTTGCATCAAGGATGAATAAATGTTGTACTGCATCTCATGGTACAGGTTTTATCAGCGTGGGCGCATACTTGTGTATCTCAAACAGCTCCAGGGTGGGTGCAGATTATTACTACAGGGATCCTAATGGTGCCCTGCTTTTGATACCCCATCCTCTCCTTTCACAGACCATTTAGTTTGTTTTTATGTGTGTTCCCTGAGGGCAGTTTTAAATCTTCAGCTTCATTTGCAATATTAGACATTTGGAAGAGGGCTTTTGTTGTTTTAAATAAAACTTCACTGCCATGTGAGTACAGAGCCCATGTTCAAGGTGGAACACCTAATAGTCCTAACTATGTTCTGTTCATTAAATGGCATTAATGGAGCCAGCTATTCCAGGAGCTTTGTTTGAATTACCTACTTGTCTAATTGAATCAGTAAGGGTGCTTTCATTGGTGTATGGGTTTGATACCACTCTGTGGTAAAAGGGAATGAAGTCCTATTTTTCCTGTGAAAACATGCTACAAACTTTAAGGTAAAAAAGAAAATCATGTGGAGTTTCCTCAGAAAGAGCTACTACCCTTTTTCAAAGCTGAATTTGTTAAATAGGACTTATTTCTTAGAAAAGTCGGGACATTACTCAGCCCTCTCTGACTATAGGAGCAGTTGCTGTCAGCTTAAGCAGAAAATATGCTTTAGCGGTGCAAAGTACTCAGAAAGCTCTAGGTTAAAAAGCAAACAAAGGCAGGCATGCACAGGCACAGACAGTCAGGTCCAGCACATGACCCTGGTGCCATCAGCCTCACAGCAGTCTGGAGCCAACCTAATGCTCATTATCTCTTTCTCTTACCCTAGAATAACCCCAGCAATAAATTGGTGAACACCAACAGTACTGTCACAGCAACACATATCAAGAAGTTCACTTTTGTTTGCATGGCATTGTCCTTAACGGTAAGAAACCTTTGTTCAACTCTCTGCCTTTCATCTCAAACAGAAAATTATCTCCTCTCCCTAATGCTAACAGCAATAGCAGTTCAAGAAAGGTGAGTTGTCATTTCTTATGAAACTCTGTTGATCTTATCTGGAAGAGGGAGTGTGGTCACAGTACTGGAGTATCAAGAAAATAGGCTATCATTAGCTCAGGCTGGATATCGTAAGGGCTAGAGTTACTTTATTTGATTCTCACTACTTTTCATTTCAAGTCAGCTTCCACACAAGGCGATATTGGAGACCTGCTTTTCTTCTCTTTTTTTAAAATGATAAAAATATCTGGTAACCAGTGCATCAGGAAAATGAAAAACTGCATTTGTCACATGTGCGGTGGCATGGCAGCCTGTCCCTGGGCATCCTTCATCCACTGAGAATAGTGGTTCCCTGCTGCCTCGCTTGGCATGCTTTGATATCACTGCTGGGCAGGACTTACTGCCCCAGAGGGCTGACTTGGGGTCTGGGACCATGGGCAAGGTGGGTGGAGCTCCAGAGGGTGGGCAGGATGGTCAGGGCTGGCAGTGCCCTCAGGGCTATCACAGCTTATCCCCTCAGTACCTGCATGAGCAGGACAAAAGCCAAGGAGAACCTAGAAAATAAGTTTCTTGGAGAAAAAGTCCTTCCTCACAGTAGAAAAGTAAATGGGAAATGCTGCAATTGTTTTAGGATACAACTGCTGAGAGTCCTAAAATTGAACCTAATATAAATAAAAATAATAAATATATAATAAAAATGAAAAAATTCGTACCCCACACAGGTTTTCTCTTTATCCCCAGTGCTGTGTACATCCACAGAGTATATGGATGCTTGATGCTTTGTAACTCTCTTCTCACCACATTCACAAATTTACGGTGGAGTAATGAAGGGCTGACAGAATTTCTCTCTACCCTCCATTTTTGCATAGAGTCTTTTGGACTGAGTTGCACATGGCCTGTGCGTAAAGGGAAACTAATTTACATCAAAGGAAACCTTACAGTTCACCAGCCTGAAGTATTTTTAACCATCCCCACCCCCTTGTCACAACCTGGGAAAGTGAGATAATGTACTCTGTCTTATTTCACAGTGAAAATGAAGCAACTCAATCCATTCATAGCTGAATTAGGAGATTTCTTCCGGTCTTTATTTCCTATTATTTTTCCTTAAACAGCTACAACTGGCCAGCATCAAAGGCAGAACTGCATGAGCTTGTGTGGCATCTCTTCTGTCTATTAATTTCCTAGACTTAAGCTTGAGCTCCTTTCATGTGGCTTAGAGACCAGCAGCTCTGGCGCTAATTTGTGTTTCCTACAGCATGTAACGGAGGGAGACATATTTCTCCACTGGATTGGCCATTGTCTGGGGAGACACAGCTCTCATGTAATCTACCAACACACACCCTGAGGTTTTCTCTTGTGTGCTGTGCCAGGCCAAGGTTATGTTCTCTACAGCTGCAGCCTCTCTTGAAATCTGTCAGTGTTGTTAGAGACCCATGAAGGGGAAAGCTTTCTGCTTTATAAATTGTGCTGAGAATAGTACTCCAATCTCAAAGCCTTTTCTGAACTATTTTCTTCAGTGTTTTGGGCATTTACCAGCTTACTCCAGTTCTGATAGATCGTGAGCTTCTCACATTACCATCACTGTGCTCTGCAGAGTAATTTTTAATTACTGCAGTAGGCTTTGTGAATGCAGGATTTTTTTTCCCAGAAGTTCTCCATAGTACTTTCAAGGGCAGCTCTTTCATAAGCTCATCATGAGAGATTTGTCCGCACTGAAATTTCAGAAACACTTTTGAGGTCCATAGCTTTTCCTGTCCTGTTTCTATTTTTGCCTACTAGTGACAGATTCTTAGGATTGCTTGTCAACAGACAGAGCAGAAAAATACACGAGCTCTAAAGATTCAGGTTGGTTCAAGGGCCTGAGCCTGGAACTGCTTCAGTGCACAAGCTCAGTAGACATCGGTATGACTGAAATTACCATGTGCCACCAGCTCTAAGGAACTGGACTTCCAATTTGTGTGTCACAGCCAGGTCAGATAGCTACTGTAGCTGAGCTCCCATGGCCATTGGTGATGGCTGAGGTTTTCTGGAGGAGCTCTACTGCAGTGAATGGCAGTTGGACTAGTGGCGTCACACGTAGAAACATCTTGCTCTTTGGGATCAGTGGGAAAGTGGGAAACAGGTTCCCAGGCTGACCAAGAGATCAAAACATGTCAAATACTTAGTCATGTGAATCCATCCTCCAGTAGATGATCTATAGAAGGATTCCAGAAGATGGAAAGATAAAGAAAGTCCATTAACAACTGGAATAAGAGTGGAACATGTAGTATGAGCAGCAGCCATGCACGAAAGTACCCTCACAGTGTAAACCCCTGGGAAAAACCTCCCAGTCATTGAAGACATGCTGTTTCATAGAGTTGGGAGAAAAATGTCCTACCTCCTTCCACAGACCAGTCATGCCTGTACAAGTACGATAAACCTACTATTACAGCAGAAGCACTTTTTCACCCTTGTTGATAGCGGGTCAGAGCACAAAAAAAGGCATAGTTCTATTAGGAAATATAACTTTGGAGGGTTTTTTTTAGTCTTTATGGGATCTGAAAGACTGCACTTGAGCTTTCCCAGACTAACTGGGCAGCATGCAAATGTGTTCTGCTAAGTGTGATCGTAAGTTCTGCCTCATGGCTTTGAAGCATCAGGTGGGTATTAAAGCTTCTTCTTCAAAAAATGGAAATAAGTTGTATTGCTTAGTGAAAGATGTGTAGAGAAGCTGTTTTATTTAAAGGCTGTAAATAGAAGCCATTAGACTCCCAATATGTAAGAGAGCTGATGTGATTAGTCATATTGATGTGGTTTTGATTATAAGTGGTAACTCCTTCCAACAGTCCTGTTTTGTGGCTATGTAACTGAATGTAAAATTTGTATAGCAGAGAGGAGGGACTCAGCTGAAGAATTTTGCCCAAGCAATTAAGGAACTGGTTCTGAGTTTAGAAAATTGGGCATGCTTGGTTAATTACTGTCAGCTGAAGAAGTGTGCCTAATGCTGCTTGCCATTGTTACTTCATTGCTATTAGGCACTTGAGGAAAAAATGCTCCTTCCTATATATAAGTAGAGATACTGCTCCAAACGCCAGTCTTGCTGCCATTGCCAGCTAAGGCTGTCAAGAACTAAACATTTTGGTTCAGTGGTAGATCTGTTTAGATGACCCTACAGTTCAACCCTGAGATCACTGCACTAAGTGAAGACACAGACTCCCGACACAGAAAACTGGTGCATTTATAGCACATATCCCTTTGTCTGTGGGATGTGTCAGCCTCCATACAGTGCAGAAATCCCAAAATAATTTATCTGGGTGCTAAATTACTGCATTTATCCATTGCAGCAAAAGTTTGCTCTGTCAGGGGCGAGCATTCCCTCATTTGTGAGCAGTGTGTAGAGGGGCAGGTTGTGTGAGGAGTGAGCTGCTCAAGGGAACCTTGCCTTGCTTAGCAGGAGTAACAGCAAATAGGCTGTGCTTCAGTGAGGGTTTTTCTTAGAATAGTGGGTAGTGTCTCTGAGCTCAGACACACCACAGTGCAGACTTCTGGGGTTTTCCAAGGCAGCCTGTAGAGCACAGCAGTTGCCAAATTACCTTTCTCTTGCTTTCTTTCTTTTTTTTTTTCTAATTGTCTCCACTTCCCAGTTGAGCTCTTCCTTAGGTCTTCTGTGATGACACAGAAGTTGCAGTCAGTTAAAATGCTTTTCTCTGGCTAATGCCAGCTGCTGGTAGACACGTGATTTGTGTTTGGTCATCTGCCTCTTAGCTGCAAGGTTTTCCAGACTGATTTCATCCTGATGCCTGCTCTATGAAAGTGCTGGACAGAGGGGGCTCCCTTGGGAGGGCACAAGCTCCTTCACTTACAGCAGCTGCTGCCCACTCCATGTGCGGGTCACAGCACTGCCCTCATGAACACGTCTGTGTGCAAACCCTGCACAAGTTGGTGAGGTTGTGTGCCCTGAGTTGAAAGCAGCATTAGGGGATGTGGGACATTCTCTGAGGAGACTGGCAGTGGCGGCATCTGTTCATGTCTTGGAGTGAGCTTGGAAGTCAAGTGATGTCTTACTTAACAAGAGTTGCAAGCACCCTCGTTTAAGTTGCTGTTATTCGGGGTAAAATCATGGCCAGCTCTGCGTGGCTGAAGCAGGGTTGTTGCATGAGTGTACAAGGTACTGATCAGACAAAGCAATTTCTCAGACAGCACTGTGGAAGCTCCCTAGCTCACCGTCTTGAAAAATTACCCTGAATAGTCTTGTACTTACTTGTTGGTTTGTATGAGGAAAGGAGCAATCAGTGCTTGCAGCAGTAGTTACACTATTTGGTTCAGCTTCCTCTTCAAGCTGCCTCAGCTGGGACAAACCAAGGTGCCTTTAGCAATACATTTCCAAACACCAGCTCTCATTAGCTGCATCATTCCTGTTAACTAAAGTTAACAGGTCACACGTCAAGACACATGGTCTCTTATATCTTCATATTCTTGAGTGCTCATGCATCGCAACAGGCTTTCCCTTACCAATTATACAGGCTCAGGGTGCCAAGGGTGACACGCTGTGCGCCCCACGCCATGTTCATCCGTCTGTCACCAAGTTAATGTGCAGCAGGAGAGCTGCACAGTACTCCTCCATTTTAACATCTGTTTATTAGAAATACATCAAAGCTCTTCCCAGCATTAAGTATTGTAGCACCAGTGCTATCATAAAAGGAATTTCAGTGCTGCTTTTCGGGTTTTTTTTAAACAGACAGGTAGTTACAGACAAACAGGGAAAGTAGCAGCTTTCATGAATAAGCAAACTGATTAAGGGGAGAAGCTAATTGTGTAGAATACTATCTTACATATAATTAGCGGACTCCTCTTGAGAAACTAAATCCAGATGTTTGAGTTTGCCCTGTAATTTTTCATTCCATTCTATTCCAAAAGGAGACTGAAAGAGTGGAGAGAAAGCTTTTCACGTTTACACCACTATGTGTGTGTGGTTTATGCAAAGCTTACAGGTTTCAGAGTTACGTGTTACAAACCACAGACAAACCAGTATATTCATTGTTTTGGGGGTTTTTAAGAAAAAAAATTGCTATGAAGTTTCAACTGAAGTGAAGGCTTAGGAACTTAAGCTGAACAAATCCATATGCATCAGTTGTGTTGTGGTAACCAAATTCAAATGCCAGGTAACCTACATGAGACTTAAATCTCAGTGAAAGCTTAAATTTAGTGTACTCAGAAGCAAACAGCTGGTCAGTTTACTGGTTTATGTGTTTGGGCTCCATTGTTGAATATGTGAGTGTCAATACATGTCAAAATGTCACCTGCTTTATGGTCAGGTTTGTCAATAATTGAGGAATCTAATGATAGCTTTAAAATGTTTCTAATACTTAAAACATTACTTTCTGTGTTATATGTTAGGCCATTTTTTATATTCTGTAAGAAAACATTACATTTTTTTGTAAACAGAATGCAGTACTTAGATTCGTATCTCGACTTATTCTTTTGCCAGGGGAAAAAACATGTACTGATTTCTAAGGGCTCCTGCTGGTGAACATCTGTAGTTTAAGGAATAACTATTGGCAAACTGTCTTGTTTCTTTCATTTGATGGAAGTTATCAGCCCCTTCGGAAGAGCAGCATGTATGCATTGCATCAGCTCTGGTGCTCATCTCTTGTAGCACAGCAGCGTAAGCTACCATCAGTTGGTAGTTATATCCATCTTACATATTAATGTGTAGTCTGTGTATCTATGGATATGTATCTGATAAATATATAGTGATATGCAGAGTGTAGTTATAGACAAGTGGGTTTTTTTTTTTGTAACAGTCAAAAGTTTTAAGCTGTAGCATTTAACATCTGCCTGTGCATCTTATTTTCCCTCAACCATGGGCAAAAAAATGGGACACACTGCTGGGGACCACAAGCTGTTTTACTGAATTTGCAAGATTCAGTAGAGGGACCCCATCACAGTCTTAAAACAGCAGTTGCAGAGTTTCTTTTGCTGGCTCCGTGTAATGCAATAATTCAGTTTCAGCCTGGAGAAGAGAGGAGAAAACTCTTGGTTCCATCCGATGACAGTTTGCTGCAAGCCATCCCATCACTTACCTGATCTCCAGTCGTCTGCTTGGTTATATTCTATAATTAATCATCAAGCACATAGGAGATAAGAAGAAAGCACTGATCGAGAACAAGGGAGCCAGTGTAACAGGGAAAATTCCCTGTATGAAAGAATTAAAGTGCAGAATTCAGGACTCAGTAGTTGCTGCTTTCTACTTATTCCTTAATTCTGTGAGAGCTAGAGCCAGTTGCTGTGGAAGAGAAGCAGCTGTGTGTTATTCAGGCTGAGAAGCCATGTCTATTTAAAAGGCAATTCCAGATGCCTGAGGTTTTGTACTCTGCTTTGGATTTGGTTATGCCAAGCTAGGAACTGCCAAGTGGATACCACGAGGTGACTTCTGCCCTCTTGATCAGCAAGGCTTCACCAGCCAGTGAAACATAGGCATTGGCAGATAAAATTGAAGCCTGCATGAATGAAGACAGAATATTCATACCAGCTCAGTGTATTATTGCAATAACATTGCTGTATTGACATATTCCCTGATGCTATGCAAATATTTTATTCTCAATAGTTGTTTAATTTCCGGCTGAACTCTCAGCAAATCTTATTTTCCAGCCATGAGGCTGGCAGCTGATTTTTCCCATGAGGGGCACCAAAGACTATCCAGTTTTCAATAGACCATTTGCTCTCAAATTTTCAATCTCTAGTTTAATAAATATGACATGTCATATCACTTTCTGCATTTACCAGTAAGTTCATTTTCCAGATGATAAAGTAACCTGAGTAAAGATCTTGCATACATAAGCCAATGATGTATTTGAATTTTCAGCTGTGCTGTCCTGCTAAACAATAAGACATTAACCGCTGGTAAAGGAGAGAAGTTAAAGGATTCTTTGCACCTCTGCAGCAAGACTGACTTCTCAGTATCCTGCACTTGCATCAGGGTAGTATCAGTTAGGCTTGCCTATTGAGAAATGCCATGGAACATATTCCTGTTTCACTGGTGAAACCTTTTGAAGGCAGAAGAGTAGTGCCCATAGCTACTAGTGTCCACAAAATAACTGCACAGCAGTTCCCTGCAGTATGCAGCTCTCACTGGGTGGTGTCAGCTTGGTTGGTGTCTGGAGTCCCATGCAGGTTGACATTCAGCTGCTGTGAATGCACTTAATGAGTTGTGATACCTACAGAAGCATCGTGCGCTTCGCTTTTTGTTTCCATCTTTGGAGACAAAACACCTGAAGGGTCTTATTTCAAGCCTGAGAGACAGTAAATTGCATTCAGGGCCTGACAGGACATGAGCTTTAATTTCCAGATAATTTAGGCAGCTTCACTGTAGCCAGAGGGTGTGCAAAGAAGTGTTTTAAAATAGAATTTGCCACAAGCAGTATACGTGAACATACTTTCAGAAAAACTGTCGTTCTTTTTTTAACCCTTTCCTAAAGAAAATAAGGTCAGTTACCATACAATTGTGAATCAATATCGGATGTCAGGTACCAAGAAAACACAGGAATACAGGTATTCATGCCCTCACCTTCATCAACTTGAGCAAACAGAATGAGAATATTTCTGTGTCCAAACATAAGTTTGGTAAAGATCAACCTGGAGTACAGCAAAGTGATTTGCAAGTTCTGACCGATGCAAGAGACTATCAAGGCTTTTAATCTGCTCTTCCTCTTTCACTCTCACTTAAAAGGCCTTTAGCCAAGTATCTGTCACCTCATCCCCATGATTTCAAGTGATTCAGATGCTGGAAAGGGGAGCAAGAAAAAATACTGTTTCTATTTCCTTGTGACTGACGCCACAGTTTTATTCTGCATTGAGAGACAGTTGCTACCCAGTTATTACCAGGTATATATCTTTGATAGCTATATACATTCCAGGCTGCTAATGCTAATTATGAGCTAATTCTTAGTTCACAAGCTAAAGAAAGCATTTTCAGAACAAAGTGGTGATTTTTGAGGTCCTTAATTTAGGCATTTATAGCTCTGCTTTACACCTAACTGTATGCAATACTGAAAGTTTCCCACTTGCCCATCTCAACTTTTATATAGATGACTGACAGCAGACATTCAGAAGATGGTCCATCGAGTTCAAGTTAGGTATTGGAGATGGTGGGGTGAAATATAAGAGTATTTAATACTGAAGAGAGAGCCAAAGATGTAGTCTTTGTGCAGTGACGGTGCAGGAGAGCCCAGCAGCTGAACAAGTAGCTCCAAATGGACTGAAGTTAACAAAGCCTCATTTTTTCCTTGAATTTGTGATTCATGGTCAAGGGCAGAGCATCAGGGTCTGAAAAGGATGAGCCGTACTTCAACTGCCTTGGCCTTTCAGATACTCTACATATTTCCTGCAAAAGGAGAATGCTGTATGACACCCAATTATAAACCTCATTAATCTCTTCTATCTGGAGGATTTGGCTACTTTTCTACCTTACTAGAAGAAATAGCTTAGCCATACCAAGGAGAACAGGATTCATCATGATGACTTCTTTCATGTAAACAATGAAATGTGTGAGTCTATCAGTATTTGTGTGCTCACAGTATAACATTGCACAGGCTAAGTGACTCTATAGAAATCAAGAATTTCAATTCTGGATCAGAAAGGTAACGTGACTTCTGATAGCAGTAATGCTTTTTGGGTTTTGAGATGCTTGTGTTTTAACAAACATGGCCAGGGACATAAACTAGAGTTTTGCAGCTTTGCAGTTCTAGCACATGAGTTAACCAGCCACTGCACTAGAATTTAGAAATGGAAGATTACTTAAGAGCCAACTTTCTTAAAGTGGTTTGTGTTACATTAACCAGGGCAAGCCTCTGTTATTTTCTAAAGCTGACCAAGGTTATATGATTTTTGTGTTTTGTTTGGGTTTTTGTAGGAACTCTGACTATGGACTGTGACTTTAGATTTTGAATAATAACTGATATTTTTCAATGCATCACACCATATCAGACTGTAAATTAATACTGTCTACCCTGGTCCCACTTCCACCAAATTTAAAGCAGTTGCACTTTATAGTACCTTGTACAGTTCATCCTTCCCTGTCCAAGGTCATGTTTACAGCTCTCCTCAACAGGAGATTTTCCCTGAATATCTCCTTTTCTGCTTGTGAGAATAACAAATTGCCCCTGTGTAGTGCTGAAGAGCCTCAGACTTGGAGTAGCTACTGCAGCATGTATCTCCATTCTGGGTATTTGTTGCTTGCTTTCAGGAATATCTTTTTATAACAAAGAGCATAGGCATGGCTAGCAGTTGGGTTTAAGAAACAATACAAACTGCATTTTCTTCAGAACTGAAGTACTATATAACATTGTTTAGCCTTTCATGTAGTTTTTCCTCACAAGTTAAAAGGTAAATGAAGGGAAACGGGTGAAGGAACCATATTTTGTTGCCACTATATATACCTGTGACCTGTCACAGATCAAAAAGCAACCAAAAGTTTAAACCATTGCAAAGGCCACTGGATCTGTGTTCAAGGTTCATTCTTTTTTTTTTTTTTTTTGTCTTCTGTTGGCTGTCTTTATT